AGAGTCTTCTCCAGCACCACAGTTCAAAGGCATCAATTCTTCGGTGCTCGGCCTTTTTTATAGTCCAGCTCTCACAGCCATACCTTCACCATTAGGTGAACATACCTAATACATAATAATACACACAGTCATTCAGATCTTGAACACATACTTAGAGGGCAGAGCCTGCTTCTACATTCCTGCTCTTGCTATCTACTGGCCTGTCCTGAAGAAAAGCCTTATATTACTTTCTCCCCAATCTATTTTGAAGAACAGTGTTTTTTATTTAAGGACGCTCATTGGTCCAATCCAATTCACCGCTTTTTGCATTCTAGCCTTAGAGAACTTCCAGCCGCTGCGGAATGAATCCTACTGACATCAGTTAGTGAGGCAATGCGCAGTACCCGCGCAGAGAATATTGTAGAGCCAAAGAGAGGCCTTTGATTCAAACGTCACGGCTGACTCCATTTGCTAGCGGCTGTAGTTAGCCTCACAAGAACTGCGCTGCGAGTCAAAAGCGGTGCAAAGCTCTCACCTGTCGCGCTTGGACCAAATACTGCCAACAGACACGCAGCTTCCCCCCTCCTTACCTGCGAAGAGACGCCCAGGCGCTGGAAGCCGTGATCAAAGAGCAGCTCCTGAAGCTCCATCTGAACAGGCACGTTGCGGTCGAAAGGCGAGCGGAGGAGCCATCGGAGGGGCTCGGGGCTGCCCAGATCGTTGCCCACCTGCGTTTCCGGACCAGCGCCGCCACGAGCTCCCCGACTTCGGGCAACTAATGAACGGAAGCGGAGCAAGGGCTCGTCAGGCACCGCGGCGTGCGGGCAGGCCCAGCCCAAACGCAGCTGGAACGAACCATTATCCAGCACCAGAGGAACTGGAGCCGGCAGCCGCACCGCCGGGTGAGCTTCCAGCACCGGGTCCGGGTCCCAGCGGACGTCGCGGAACGAGAACACCCCTCCGGCCGCCTCCATAGCGCAGGAAACAGCGTCCCGCCGGTCAGGTCCCGCCCCGTATTTTCTCCGACTCGAAACAAAGGCTTTCTAAGGAGTGTTCCGTTCCCGAGACGGATCACCATGGAGACCAGTGAAACGCGCGCATCGCCCGCTCCTTCCTTTAGAGGATTGGTTTGCCACTTTGCCGCGCGGGTCGGTGAGCAAGCATACATGTCCAAAGCTGATCTCTATTGAAGCGGTGGGATTTTGAACTGCATATTTAAACGCACCAGACTCGAGAACTTGAGCCAAACAGAGGACCGTTGAAGGAAAGTTAGTATTTCCGCCCCCCTTCCCAGTTTAATGCCCTCCCCCTAAATGTTGGAGACTGGTTTTCATTAGCGAGCAGACTTGTATTGGCTGGAGTTTATGGGGATTGTGGTCCAGCATGTTTGGAGGCTAACTGATTAGGGAAGGCTGAAGAACAATTTTAAGAGGCATTATGATTCTGTTAAGACTTAAAGTAAGCTTTCTTATACAATAGTAGGGCTGGCAGGGAAACTTACTAAGAAGATGAAAGCTAAGAGTTTATTTTCCCTTAAAGCCTCTACTGTGGGTGAAGCTGGATTTCTGGAGATGAGTAACAGTCGATTAAGGTGGTGATGGCCTTCTTGAAAGTGGGGATGGTTTATTTATAGGTATCTGCAGAAGTCACCTCTCAGTCCAACTATTTTAGACAACTATCACCTGATCTCTAACTTTCCTTTATAAGGGAAGGTTTTGGAAAAGAAGCTGGAGATACAGCTACCCAGAATCCTAGAGGAACCATTTTCTGGACTTTATGCAGTTGAGCTTCATGTCTGGACATGGGATAAAAATTGCATTGGTTGCCTTGATGGATGACCTTTGTTGGGACCTGGAAGGAGGGGATGTGCTGCTCTTGGTCCTCTTAAATCTCTCAGTAGTTGTTGATACAGTGCAGTACCCATGACCATCTTTTTGGACTGCCTGCAAGGACTGGGGCTTGGAGGATCTGTTCTGCAGTGTCCCTGCTCTTTCTTGAGCATGTGGTTCCAATCATCACAGGTAGGGAAAGAGTGATTGTGCTCATGGTTGCTCCAGTATAGGATTCCTCAAGGCTTGTTCCTTTCACCTATGCTGCCACATTATACATGTGGGTGGAATGATATCTAAGTGGAGAGTCATATGCCTATTTTAGAACCTACACTACAATTTCATTTATTTCCCCCCTCAAACTGGGAATAAACTGTTGTCAGTTTTCAGGTTGTCCACCTGCGGTATAGTGTCTGGTTCACATATTGTGGAAAGCTATAATCTGTCTTGTTTGAAATTCTATACAGAGTTTTTGTGGGAATTCACCCTATTGATAGCAGCTCTGTCCTTAGAACAAGATGGCCTAAAATGGGTTGTCTAGTTTGTGGTATAGTGTGCTACATGACTCCAAAGAATGTTGTTTATTTATGGATTAAGGTTTTATGTAAACTCAGGCAGTTGGGAAAATTCAGTAAACCATGATTCAGTTAAGTTTGACTTAGCATGTTTTTTATAATCCAGCTACTAGAAAATTTTGCAAGAGATTATGCTGTTACATACCTAAGCTGCTTAAGCAGTTTTTTTTTTTTGAAAAATGACCTTTAGATTTAAATGGCATATTTCTGTAAAAATGACTTTAGAGCAGAAATATTACCCATCTTTATTATTTATTTTGTTTCAAATTAAAGTGCAAGATGTATCCTTATATCAGGTGTACTGCAGTTTCTCTAATTATCATTTAATCTGTTACATTCCCCTCTTAATAGGAGTAAAGGCTGTTTTTTTTTTAAAATATCAGCTGTGTTGGAATGACAGCATAGCTGCTTTGTGATTCAAGTCATGATGTAGTAAGAGAGGGTAGTTACCTAAAGATATTTAGTGTCACACAGCAAAAACTTAGGAAGACGTGCATAGTCAGTTCAGTTAGATTTTGAACCAGAAATGAAGTATCCGCTAGTTCCTTTAATTAATGACCTAACATTTCCTTTTCTCTTTTTCTGGTTTTGTTTGCCATTTGGGATACTATTGATCTTATTGGTTTTTTGGTTTCAACATCTACTTAATGAAGGTAAGCCTTGCTTTCCCCAAGCTCATCACTTCTAACCATACTAGACTACAATTTTTATCATTTTCTCTTAGTATGACTTCTAGGAATTATGTGGGTTGTAGCCCAAGGTATCTGGGGAGTACCAAGATATTATAAATTGCCTTTTATATCCTGTGACAGTCAAAAACATTAGCATGGCTGAAGAATTAGCACTACATTTATAAGTCTGTCTATTCTAACAGGACCTGCTTCATTTAAAAATGGAGATAGTAGGTAAACTTCAAAATATTCAGTTGATTTCTTCTACATTATGTGCTAAGTCATTTAAGCAGAAATGCTCAAGAGCTGATTCAGGTTCTCTCCTAGGTGGAGGCTGCACTGAACTAAGGTTGGTACCATTCCCTGTATCCTGATGACACTATAGGGGCTTCCATGGCTTTGGAGGCTGAGATGATTAACTATTATCTTGGTTCATGCTCCAAAGGAAATACTGTGGAAATGTGAAGACAGTTTTGCAGTGTTTCCTCTGGAGCTGCAGGGTAAGTGGTTTCTGTGTGCAAGAATTCATTTTATCTTTCTACTATCCCTACCCCCCTCCAGACTTTATTTTTAAAAGGAGTTTGTTGTTCTTAACATACAGGAGCTAGTTTCTGTTTTAAAACTGTTTTTCCTTGCTGCAGATAGAACCCCTAGGAAAGCAACAAGGAATAAGGAGCTGGCTAGTTGCTGTTATTAGCTCTTTTCAGTTGGACAGCTGGAGGAAGCTCTGGTTGTTCAAGGAAGATAAGGATAGTAGCCAGGTGTCATGCAGCTGCTTATGGCTGTGTGTATATGTGTGTCCAAAGTTGGCCATGTCAAGGGAATCACAGTTACATATGCATGCTGTACTACCTCAAGTTTTAACTTCTTTGGCATTTTTTAACTTTATATTTTTCACTCAAGGAGAAGGATCTTGAGTGATTGCAGTTTGTGAAATTGACTGAGCAGAGAGTGTTGTGCTTTTATGCTATGTCCAAAAGCAACCTAAGTTGCTACCTTACTGTAAATTAAGAGATTTACCACTTTATTGTCCTGTTAATGCAGATTTCTTGAAGCAAAAAGCAAAGATTTTTGGGATTCCATGGCTACATGCTCTGGGACAAAGACTACTAAAATTGTACCTTTCTAGGCAAACTGTGTCAGTGGAAGCACACTTGAGTGCCTCTTAGTTACAAATTATGTAAGTAAAATGTCAGCTTTATGTGCTTGGAAATATACTGGTACATTTGAGAGTCAGAAGTAATTATCCCAGTGTACCATCACTTGGCAATGGAAATGTTCCTATCAGAATAAAACTCCTTTTTGCAAAATATGAAGTCTGGAATGGTGCTAGTCCACCACAACTCCAGAACTATTAGTGGTATGTGTTATCAAAAGCAACATTTTACAATACAAATAGCTATGGCTTCCACTTAGGGGAACAAGCATCCTGGATTCAATTGGTTTCTTACAGATATGTGCACATGGCTTGTTACGTACAAATCTAACTGAAGCATTTTGAATGACATTATGAACAGTTAAGGCAGCAGCATTTCAACTTGAATAATGGTGCATGTCTTGATTGCCCTTCCCAGCATGTAGAAATAACCCTCTTCAAAGCATCACATTCATAATTAGAAATACCTATCCAATTTTGAGTATATGAAGTTGCCTCTTGAAATGATTATACAGATTTTTCACTTGTTGTTAAACTCATATAGTGTTAATCATGTTGAAAACAATTATAAACTACCTTTCATTATTGGAGCAAGAAAGATTTCATGCATTAGAAAGTAGAGATCAGGAATCTAATTTAGCTTTTGATTTCCAACTTTGATGAAATAACAGAATTGTCTCCTTTAGATAGCAATGTTATACATTTTAAAAATCTATATTTGAAATGCACCATAGGTAGATAGACCATGTTCAACTGTTATACCTTCTGTATCTAACGAAAAAGGCCCATCTTTCTAGTTTCCTTTTTTGCGTTGCATTGATATAAAATCCTGATATATATATTTTTAGCTGAAGTTCCCATTACAAAAGAAATAAAGATGCCACCCTGTGATGATCCTGATGGGAATACTGACCTCAAGTCTGAACATGAACCCAGTGGAAATAACAGCCGAAGCAACAAGTCCAGAAAAGCTTAAAATTTGATATGAAGATGGCTCCGGTTGTAGAAAAACTGGGCCCAAAGCCTGTCCACTTAAGTTCAAAAGAAACAGTCCATGGAAAAAGCCTGTCTGCTCTTATTTTAGACCAATTGGACCAATGCGTCAAACAGTATTGTTTTGAGAAGAATTCTATGTATAATACAACCGTGGTAAGTAAATCTACTCATAGTAGATGAGTGATAATGGCCCTCTCTTTACTAGATCCATAGAAGAAGGGAATCTGTCTCATAGGTGCCATCAAAGTTGGGCTACGTGAAAAGTCCCTGAGCAAAGTAAGGCAGAGGAGTACTCAGCAATTTTTACCTGTAGGCTCACTATGTTGGATAAATTAGAGCCCTGAGTGTGCTCTTTTTCTCCCCTGCCTTGCATTCTATACATAAATGAGAGGCTTATGTTTCATTCCACCCACCCATCATATATGGCTTGGCTCAGAGTTACTGGCTCATGTTCAACAAATAGTCCTGGTCAATATTTAGTTCTTAGAACTCAGAGGCCAATGTTGTCAAAAGAGATTATAGGCTGTACCATATAACCCAGAGCATGCACAGTTACCATTTTTTAATGTGCATGCACATGGATCTAATACTGTAATTTTATGCAGCGTTTAGTTGCTCTTGGTCCCAGCTGCATTTAAGCCAGCAGACAATTAAGAGAATCTGTATTTTTTCCAGGTTTGTCATATCTACAGTTATTGTAAGAATTAGCAGCTACATCTCTGTAACAATTCATTTCAAAGATGATGAAATTTCAGTGCTGGGTTTGCACATTCCCCTCAGCCAGATGTGAGCAACATCTGAGAAACTGGGACCCAGTTCAGTCTCCCAACTTTCTGGATGTTGCAGGCGGCCATCTGAAAGGGGAGAGTCACATTCTTTCAATCCATGTTTTGCCTCTGGGGGAGGGGAGATTTAAGACTGGGAGGCAAAGCACTATTGCCACTATTCTGAAATCCCCCGAAACCAAGATATTGTTGGTATGATCTCAGGCTACTGAGAGGCTACTGATGGGGTACTTGAGAACTCTGTGCAGGTTGCCTGTCCCTTTAGCCAAGCCCTGGTGTGTTAACTAAGTCACAATTCCCTAGATTCTCATAACATGCTAAAACAGAGCACAGTATGTGAATGGAAGTGTTTACATAGATAATAATTCTAAAGTTCTGCTACACCATGACTGATTTGTGCAGTAACAATCTTCACTGAACTGCCTTGAAGACTAGCAATAAAGATGGGAGACATATTTGTAAATGTTTCTTAACTGGATTTTTTCTGTAGCTTCTGGGCACTCTGCTGGTGTCTCTCTTCTTTAGTCTTCCTCACCAGTTCCTTGAGATTTCCAGCGTTCTGTGGATGCAGCTGCTCCTTCATCACTGGTTGCTCGTATATTTCAGCTTTTTATCTGGCTAAATGAAAAGCCTGTGGAAATCATGGTTTCCTTGAAAGAAGAAATTGGTACTCTGTCATGCCATGTATGGGGATAATTAAAATACAGCTGTTCCACCAAAGAAAGATGGATATGTAGCAATCCCTTAATTTGTCAGGAAAGTGCTGTGAAATTTTGTTGCTAATCTCAGGTTGCTATCTTTTCAAAGAATAGGAGGATACTGCTTGCTTCATTCAGATTTTCTGTACAAAAAAAAATCAAAACATTAAATTGTTACCTTGTTCTTGGATTAGGGCATTATATAAAAATGATATTTTTATATAAAAACTAAAGAATTCCTATATATATCAGCTTAACAATTCTGCTTTCTTAGAGTGCAGAGAAATGCTGTCCTGTGACAACATTTAAAATAAGCAATGACTATTACAATTTAAATGTAAATAAGTTGTTAAAAGGTATCAGTGAAGGGATAATTACAGATAATTACTTATTCATCATGCCTCCTAGAATAAAAATAGATGAAGTGCTAGTCATTGCTAACCTACAACTCCCAGCATCAACCACCGTTGGACAAATCTGCTGGGGCTCCTGGGAGTTATAGTGCAGCTTCTTTTGAAGACTCAGTGTGCTTGCATTTCTTAAATTCTAAGTGGTTATAAGTGATTCTCCCCTTTCATTCTTTTTTATTAACCAAGAATATACAATTGATATAAAGAATTCCATTTTTTATTCAAAGTTCTTTACTTCCTTGCTAAGAATATTTTAAAATAACAAAATATTTCAGCTGTTTTTTATTAATAGAGTTCAGGAACTAGGCTGTGTATGAGAACCTTAAATCTAATAATCGCATAGGGCTGGTTAACCTTGGTTCTACACATGAAGGTGAACCATTGGACCTGTGTATCTGATACTCCTTTTTACTGATATGAACTACGGAGTCTCCTTTCCCTTTTGGGGGAACTTCTCACAAGGTAGTCTTGTCTCTGCAGGACCGTTTCAGTCAAATCACAGTATATACCTGAGGTGTAATGTGGCTCAGTCAACATGCTTAAAGTTATTTTCCCCTCTCTAACATTAATACCTAATGCAGACCTAACACCACATTATGACTAAGTATAAGAATAAAAATGAGAATTTGTGTACAAGCAAAGCAAAGAAAAATGAATTGGATATCTACTCTTTCAAAAGGGGGAACAGACTGAAGTTACTGGGCGTTCTTTAGAAAATCCACAAAAAAATTAACTCATCTCTTGAATGTTAACTTATTTAGTGGTTCTAGTGGCAGTTCTTACCTGCTACTGATTTACCATTTATCCCTCCCTGCCCTCATCTAACGCATAAAAGTTAAACATATAGTATTGTAATTTTAGTTCACTAGGGCTTCATTAAATCTTTTGGAATCAGTCCATAGCAAACCAAGTATATCAAACACTTGTTCAAGTAAATATTTTTAAAAGCACTTTAACTGTACTTTCAAAAGTAATCCTGAACTTCCTGCTGTATTCTTAAAAAGTCTCCTTGAGTCACGCTGAATTTCTGGGTACTTCATGGGCATATCCATGTAGTTTACTTGATAAAAATATCAGACTTTCTAATGCCTTCTGGGATAATTTTTAATTTCCTATTCTAGCCTACAACCCTGGGATTTTCTGATGTGCAACTTGCTTAGGTTTTTAAAAATCACTTTAAAATCAGTTGGGCCTGCTGCAGTCTACAAAATGGTTTGTTAGCTCTTTATTGTGTACAGTATGTGACAAAAGAACAGCCATAACTCGTTTCAAAAACATTTACTTTGAAAACACATGCATTTAGAAAATGCCCTTTGATCCCTAATACTGCTTTCAGTGGCATCTTCTATGCCAGGTATTGATTCTAGATATACATGTCTACTCCCAACAACTGGCAAACACTGAATTATTTTGGATATCAGTTTATTAGGCATGAAGTCTATTGGGTAGTTTTAGATGATCCATCCCTCTTCCTCTGTCCTTTGCATATGGCGTACCCATGATCCAAAATGATTTTGAATTTCTGCCATAGGCTAAGGGTAGCTTGGATTATTGATTTGGAGCTGAGATATGGCAGGGTTATGATAAATGTAAGTCTTGCTTATTTTCCCCACTCTAACTAAAATGTTTAAAAATAATTTTTATTACATATTTACACCCAACCTTTAAGTACATCCTATTTAAGTTTTTGGTTCACTTTTTACATTCTTTTGTGTGTGCAGGTAGTTATGCTTCACAAATAGCAGATGTGATAAGCCTAGATCTGGAATGTGCCACTTCAGATTGGTTACCTGAAGGAATATTGTTATACAAAAAACATTCTTACAAGCAAGCGGCTAATATGTCAGTATTAGAGATGGAACTTGGGATGTGTCTTTCTGATACACTTGTTCTCTATACAAGAAATTGTTTTGCTTGGATGACCATGCAACTTGCAGTGGTAAATGCTAATACAGTTTTATGCCTACTGCTGTTTTCAGTAATGAAAGAAGGCAAATATGATTATGTACCATCAAGTCATTTTTGACTCCTAGTGATCACATAGATAGGGATAGATCACCATGGAGAAAATCTAACATTTTTTCAAGTCTCCCAACAGTGCACTCATCACCGCTGTAACTGAGTCCATCCACCTTGCTGCTGGTCGTCCTCTTTCCTTCCACTTTTCCCAGCATTAGAGCTTTCTCCAGAGAATTAGGTCTTCACATAATGTGTCCAAAGTAGGATAATTTGAGCCCCGTCATTTGTGCCTCGAATGAGAACTCTGGGTTGATTTGTTCGATGATCCATTTATTTGTTTTCTTGGCTGTCCATGGTATTCTCCAACACCAAAGTTCAAAGGCTTCAATACTCTTCCTATCCTACTTCTTTAAAGCCCAACTTTTGCTTCTATAGTGGGAATACCAAGGCTTGCACGATTCTGACATCATCAGTAGTGTTCAATAGGACTTTTTTTGTCAGTGCTGTAGTCCAGTGTAGTCTATTAGTCCAGTATCCTTTGCAACTATTTTAGTTTCAAGGAAGCGTTTCCCCAACAGAAATTGCTATATTTCAGTCTCAGTCTGGGCAGCCTTCATCTCCTGCGGCCGCTTTTGGTTCTCGAAACAGCGCAAAGTCGCAGATGTACACAATCACACGCCGCCACGGGCACAACGAGACTATCCTTCCCTTCGCTTCGCGCGCCTCCCTGCCCTCAGCCGAGGACTCCGCCCCTCTCGGCCCTTAATTTTTTCCTTCCAGGGCTCCGCCCCCGGCTCCATTCATACGCGACCTCGCAAATCAAAACGCCTCGAACCAGCTGGAGAAGAAGCCGGGGGAGTGGTCGGTTGCTTCTGCTGCTTTCGCCGCAGTGCCCGCGTTGGTCCGGCTGGAGCGGAGTCGGTGGGGCGGCGGAGTCTTTGTTCTTCATCGCGGTCGAGGGGAGAAAGGAAGCCGTTTGAAGGTGGGTGGGAAAGCTGCTTCCCCGATCCTCGTCCCATGCCAAGATTAGGGGAGCCGTGAGCTTTGCGCTTTGTCTGCGCCCTTCGTTGCCAGGATGAGAGAGACGGCCCAAGTTTTAGCGGCGGCTCTTGTTGCTGACGGGGGCATCTTTCCAAAGCCCCGTTGGCCGAAGAGAAAGACAACGGCGTTTCTTCCTGCTCTCGATGCCGGCGGCGCCTTCGCTTTTGCCAGACGCGACGCTGCTTCCCTTCGCCCGGTGGAGAAGCCCAGATTTAAAGGGCTCCTTCTGGACGAGCAGCTTTTCTAAAGCAGGGGCCGGACTCGCAGTCAACCGCCGGATAGTACGATCCGCCTCCGGGTAGAGGCGATCCGAGTTCCTGAGCAGGAAGAAACGGCGTGGTTTGGTTGCGAAGCGCGACAGAAGTAGGTTCCGAGATTAGCGGGGCGAAACGGGATGAGTTGCTGCTGGTATTCCCCTTACGGTATTTCAAACATTCCCAACCGACGGCTATGTACGCAGCCCAGTCGTGGCGAAAATTTGCCGAAAAACACTTTTGTAGGGTGATCTGGCGACAGGAGCCGGGCTGGATTCGCGGGCGGGTTTCCTCGGGAGTAAGTCGCGCTGTGTTGGAGAAGCTTACTCCCCGAGCAAGTTCAACTGTTGAGCGCTCAAGCGAGGTCCTTGGAGTTTCCACTCCCCCCTTTTGGATAAACGTGCCTGGCGTTTGAGGACTTCAACAGCGTGCGCGTTTCTGTCTTGCGTTCTTACATTTTGCAGCTGGCCTTTGTTCAGTGTATTACTATTTGTATCTTCTACTAACTGTCGGGACCGTATTAACTCTTAACAGCCCACTCCAAAATGCGATACTGCACATATTTTAAATAACGGAATAGTCCAGTTGAAGACTTGATAGGCAAAGCAAGAGGCTGGGATGGCGATTAGCTTGATTTTGGAATGCGTTGCTGTAATCCGGAGAGGTGCATCGTATTTCCCTCTCCGCCTGTGTAAACTTAATAAGCAGCACTTCGGTGGTGTCAGCTGACAGGCTGCATTGTGAATGGTGCTCGGCTGCAAACGGGTGAACCGTTAGTTGTTGCAGCGGTCGTTTCCCCGCTGGGCTTGCTCAAAGACACATGGTTGTTTTTGCTTGACTTGAACTGTCTAGGCTGACTCAGAAGGATGGCTACTTCTAAGCAAGAGGTAGTCGATTTGGAGGAGAGGGTTTGGGTTTCGCACTAAAAAGAATGAGTAATATTTATTTTGCAAATAGCTTCTAAAATAAACTGGAAACCTGAGCATAATCACTACGGATGATCTTTCTACTCAGGATTAAAACTTGAGAAATCATCTTAATGCTTTTTTAAAGAAGGCTTCAGAGTCTGGTTCCTCCAGATATATAACTCTCAGACTTCTGAGGTTAGGAAATGGAACCCAACAAATCTGGTGCAGGGAGTTGAGAAAAGAGTGATGAAGAAGATGGTAGTATAATTCAGGAATTGCCAGTCTTTTCCCCTTATGTTGACTGCGTTGTCATTGATATATCTATGGACACCAATGCACATGAAGCAACCTTAGGTAATTTTGAGTCCCCAAAATGAAATAAAAATTAGAATTTAATTTTTTTAATGGATGAAATCTCATGGAAGTTTAGTGTTCTAGCAGAAATGTTGTGTGGTTGGGGGCAGGAATCCAAAATCTCACAAGATTTCCAATGAGAATGCCAAACTTTTCATGAGTTCTAGCATTGACTTGGGACATTCCATTTAATTCATTTTTTCCTTTTATATTATGTGTCCTTTTAAAATGGTAAGCCACCCAGAGTGTTTTTGGAGCTGGATGGCCTTAAAATCTAATAAATGTATTATTCTGGCACTAGGGACCATCCACAATATTCTCATGTGCCACAGGTTGGAATCTACTGATTGTTTTAAGACATCACTTGTACGTGCTTGGGAGCCTGCACCATTTTAATGGCTTGGGCTTTGTTTATGAAGATTATACTTCTGCTTCTTCTCCATCCTTTTCCTACCAACTAAGTTTTAGTCTGGCCTGTGTCTGCTATCTTTGGCAGTAATTCAAAGGTCCAAGGGGTCTTCCTGTCATCTTTTCATCTCAGAAATTTAAAGCAATGCACCAATTGTAACAAAACATGTTTTAAAATATTTTTTTAAAAAACACAGAGCTTCAGCTGCAAAATCAGCTCCACAGAATTAGTAGATATCCACAAAATTAGTAGAAGTACAGATGTGTCAGTACTTCTGTTCCAATCATGCATGACCAGAAATAACTATTGTGTTGGTAGGAACGTATGCTATTCAATGGAATCATCTGAGTTTTGTGGAATGATGGCAATCTGTGACCTGATTCTGCATTCTGTGGGTACTCTTTCTGAATTGTTTAGTCAGCAATTGGCTGGGTTTACACAACATAATTAGCCATGAACCATAAGGCCAGGTAGGTTTACATTCTATACTAGACCAAAGCTAAAGAATACATGTTATAATTTTGTGCAGTGTGTGTATACCAGTGTGTATAGAAACTAGCTACTTACTCTGTATGGTGAGGTGGTCAAAGGAAAAGTTTGTCTCATACAACTGTTTTTCTGAGTTATATTTTGACTTCTTCCTATATGTCAATGGTTTCTGTTCATTTGTTGGGGGATTAATAGTACAGGTAGTCCTTGTTTAGCAACTGCCTCATTTAGCAACCATTCAAAGTTACAGCAGTGATGAAAAAGTAACTTCATGACCAATCCTTAGGAGAGCTGAAGTAAGATTGTGAGCACAGTCATGGTTTCACTTAGTGACCACATCGCTTAACAACCAAGTCGCTGGTCCCAATTGTGGCCGCTAAACTTGTTCCAGCCCTCATCTACAAGAATTGGATTGGTGGGTGTGTTATGAATTTTGGTATGTAGGACTTACTGATGGCTGAATCAGCTTTTGATTTGGTTATATGTGTATCATACAAAATTTGAAGGTGGGGAAACTGGTTTGATATCAAATGGGTAAAGAATGTGCTATGATTTCTGTGATATCTGTATCTTATTACAGATGTGATGAGAAGACTATTGCTTCCTATAAGCACAGACTCTAGTTTGGGAGAATATGATGATTTAATCTAAGCTATCTAGTATTTTAATGTATTGTTACTGGAAGTTGGGAAGATAAAGGGGGGGGGCAAATAGAACATTTTTGTAGGGCATCTACTACCTCTGAAGGCTTCCCTTCATCAAAGATATTTCTACCAGTCATGTATTTATCTAACATTAACTGAAATGCACTATCAGTATGGTTGTTATTCACTTTATCATACTCTTTCTAGTACTAAACCGTTGATGCATGAAACTTTCTAGGTGCATTTGTCTTTTTAGTGAAGAGACCTGAGGATAGAAAAGACATTAATTTCATTTATGTTTTGATTAAAGCAACAAGAAAACAACCTAGCCAGTTCAATTACCAATCCTACATGCAAACTGGAATGAAATTATATGCCCAAATATTCACTTTTCCTAATGTTACAATGTAGGTATTTGCATAAAATGCAGATGGGAAAATATGCATATACTGCATGTATGATTTTTTTCTGCTAATTAAAACAAAAATTGGACAAATATTAAAGTTAGAAACTCCTAGCATAACAAATACAATGTTCTATAAATACGGCAATTTATTTTGAACTAGTTTCATATCAAATGTTTAGATTCTTTAGTGAAAATGATGTCTAATATTTAAAAAGAGCCACTCTTCATATGACTACAAATGATGTTATCGTACTTTGGCAGTTCTAAAAGCACAGGATGTCCTTTGTCCTTCCCTCCCTCCAAGGAGCCAGGCTCTTTCACCTTGCAAACTACATCATGGATCATTAACATTGTGATGGTTGTAACTTATTTAAGAGATTTATATGGCCACCCATCTTACGAACCATAACTCTGGGCAGCTCACAACAACAGTTAAAAAACCAATAAAAACCAACATCCGTAAATTTCAGTTGCATTAATGTGCTGCCTTCTTTTTCTTTAAATAAGTTAGCAAACAATCCTTTGAATTAGGGAAGAGAAGCCAAGTGAGTGGAGCTTCTCTAGAAAAAGGAGAGATGATAACTTTTAGAGTAGCTACTTGAGAAAAAAAAGTGATTTGGGGGAAGTGTGATACATGCTTATAAAATTTCAGAGTTTTGGCGGGAAAACTTAGAGAATTGTTTTTCCTTTCGCTTATAATGCTGGAACCAAGTATCATCTATTGGACTGGATTGGTGGGAACTCTAGGGCTGATGAAAGGAAGTACTTTTTTACATAGCATATAGTTAAACTGTGGAGTCTATTGTATTATAAGATATTATAATGGACTTGAAAGGGGATTAATTAGGCTATCAGCGGCTACAAGAAATGGTGTAGAATTCAAGGTAGTAGAGAAAGATGCAAGAGTATGAACATCAGGATGGAGAGAGAAGGAACTGGAAGTACCAATGTGCTGTCTTCCAGATATATTGCATTTTCCAGCCAGCTTGGCCAACCATATTAAAGTTCCAGTTACTGTGATGAAGAACAGGTTTGACTTCATCATTAAGCAGGGCAAGGAACATGGTCTCTGGTAGCTCCTAATAGAGTTCTCCTGAACAGCAGCAAATGGACCGTTAAGTTTTTATCAGCATACAGCGTCATTTGGATTTGCAGCCCTAAGTGCAAAAATGCATTGCATTTGATGCTTCTGAATATTATTTTGACTCCCTTTTTAAAACCACTCTGATCATATCATTTTTGGCTCCATTTAAAAAACCTT